CACGTAACAGACAAACTAATCAAGTATCTTGGTCCAGCTCGTGAGTTCCTATTCAAAGTATAAACCATCACTATTTAAGCACTCAATTTAAAATATAACTCGTATTTAGTACAAAACATACTTCAGATTTCTGGTAAAATAGTTTTAAAACTAAAAGTTTTTGTATGGTGTAAATTTGTTATGCAAAATTAATATTGGATATATGTACGAACCCACCAATAATATCCAAATATATTATTACAATTAGAACTCATTTCCAACACCAAAGTTTATTTATTGACTTAGATGACTAGTTCAAAAGTTTCATGTTTCAAAATTTCACCTTGAAATCCCTTCCTTCCTACCAATCCATAACCAAAACCTCAACATAAAAGACTCTTTTTTTTTTTTTTTTAGTTTATGAAGCTCTCTGTTTTAAACAGTAACAGAACATAAGTATATTTTGAAATCAAAGAGGAAACTGAACATTTTATAATATAAAAATATGGGGTTTTTGACTAAAAGCCCACTAAAATAGAAAGATGAATAAAATAAAAGGAATGAGAAGTCTAACAAAAAGAAAATTACTTCAACTCTTAGCACCCTTTCTCCTTCACTAGCCTTCTGAAACTATAAAGCTTTTTGTCTGGTATTTTTATTACTGTTGATTCTCAAGAGAACTACTGACTCCCTATTTATACAGCTTTTTGTTTCTTTTTAACTGGCTAAAAAAAAACTCTTACTTATCCTAACAATCATGATGCCTAACTCTAGACTCTTCACCACCTGCTTCTTAGACCTTCACCTCCTGCTTCCATAGACTCCACAAGTTCTCTTGGAACTAACACTTAGGTGACACAAGCCACCAAGCCACAGAAAATTGAACACCTCCTGCTTGCTAGTAGTAAGAGGAGGATTCACTTGACTACCACATGGAAACGAGATTGAGATGAAAATCTTAGCAAATGATAATAACACACCTCCTGATTTTAAATTCTTACGTGGTGGTAAGAGAGAAAGAGGCATGGAAATCACAAGGTCAATTGTACAGTCGTAAGGAAATAAAAAAAGCTTACCTCATGAATTATTTGTTGGCCTACTCCCAATTGACTTAGTAGTATGGAATTGAAGAGGATCCAAAGACAAATTATTCTTGCGTCGAAATTCGGAAGAGAGAAAAGCTAGGGGTTGTTTTCCCTTTTCAGGGACGACGGGGATTTGAGGGAAAAGAGATTGTGGACTCCTTTATTGGAGTTATTCGTCCCGAAAAAGAAACAAACCTAAAAAAAAATAATAACAAAATATGTATTTGTCTTTTTGTCAAAAGTTATATAGTCTTATTATATATATCTAATGAATCTCAAACATAGGACCAATTTATAATTTAGGGGGGGGGTTCCTAACCATATAAATAGAGAGGTTAAACTCATACACTTGCACTACTAACTAATTAAAAAAAAAATTGGGTTCTCACAATCTGCTCCCTTAAAAAAATTTAGTCCTCGAAATTTAAAAACTTACTGGAGTGAAGGAAAAGTTCTGTGTATTTTGTATGCATAATGCATCTCAGTCTCCAACTCCCATGTGGTTTCTTCTACATCACCATGTTGCCACAGAACTTTGACCAACATAATAGTCTTCGTTCGTAATGTCTGTTCTTTGCGATCTAGAATACGAACTGCTCTTTCTTCATATGACAATTGTTCATCCATGCTTAGCTCTCCCAATCAATGACATGAGATGGATCAGGTTCATACTTCCGTAGCATAGGGACATGAAATACGTTGTGAATACCTGAAAGTTGAGGGGGCAACGCTGATCTATATGCCACTTCACCAATTCGTTGCAGAATTTCAAAAGGTCCAATAAATCTTGGAGATAATTTTCCTGACTTTCCAAATCTTTTGACTCCTTTGCAAGGTGATACTTTCAAAAACACAAATCACCAACCTCGAACTTCACAGGTTTCATTCTTCGATCTGCATAGCATTTCTGTTGACTTTGAGCTATTATAAGACATTGCTTAACTGTCTTGATCTTTTCAGTAGTCTCTTGTACAAGGTCAGGTCTTAATATCACCTTGTCACCATTTCTGCCCAACAATTAGGGTGATCTACATGGTCTTCCATATATTGCTTCATATGGTGCCATTTCAATGTTTGAATGGTAACTATTGTTGTAGGCAAATTCAGCAAGTGATAAATGATCTTCCCAACTTCTTCCAAAATCTAAAATACATGCCCTCAACATGTCTTCGAAGATTTGGATGGTTCTGTCGGACTGCCCATCTGTCTGTGGATGAAAAGCAGTACTAAAATGTACTTGAGATCCTAAAGCTTGTTGCAAGGTTTCACAAAACTTAGAAGTAAACTTGGAATCCCGATCAGACACAATTGAAATGGGAATTCCATGCAATCTTACTATTTCTTGAATGTAAAGCTTTCCAAGTGTTTCAATGGAATTCGTTATCTTAATTGGTAAGAAATGTGCAGACTTGGTCAAACAGTCTACAATAACCCATACTGCATCTCGGCTTATTTGTGATTTTGGTAGACCTATTGTAAAGTCCATTGTGATATGATCCCATTTCCAGTTAGTTACGGCTAGTGGTTGAAGTAAGCCTGATAGTTTTTTATGTTCACTTTCACTTGTTGACAAATGAGACACTTTGCTACAAATATTGTTACATCTTTCTTCGTACCATTCCACCAAAATTGACGTTGAAGATCATACTACATTTTTGTATCTCCAAGATGAATCATGTAAGAAGAACAATGGCTTTCCCGAAGAACTTCATTCCTTAATTCAAGAATTTCAGGTACAAATAACCTTCATGAGTATCTTAGTCCACCGTATGCAATCTTATGTGCTTCTCTGCTTGCAATCTCAGCTTGGATTGACTTCGACAAGGAATCATCTTTTTGCGCTTCAATAATCTTTCCCCCAAAAATGGTTGAGTAACCAAATTGCATAGATAAACACAATCCTTCTTTATGTCTACATGCAATTTAAACTGACAAAGAGTTTCTATCATTTTCCATTTTTGAAGATGCAAAGTTGCTACAGTTCCTCTTGATTTTCTGCTCAAAGCATTTGCCACAACATTTTCTTTTCCTGGATGATAATGTAAACTGAAGTCATAATCTTCAAGGTATTCCATCCAACGCCTTGCATTAAATTCAACTCATTCTGTGCGAATAAATACTCAAACTCTTGTGATCTGAAAAAAGTTCAAATCGCTCACCATAAAGATAATGTCTCCATGTTTCAATGCATGAACAATAGCTGCTAGCTCCAAATCATATGTTGGATAATTTCTCTCGTGCGACTTCAGTTGTCGAGATGCAAAGGCAACAACTCTATTCGACTGCATTAAAACACAACCTAATCCATATAGTGAGGCATCAATGTATACCACATAACCTACATCTCGTTCAGGAATAATTAAAACTGGAGAGGTAGTCAACCGCGTCTTTAATTCCTGAAATGATTCTTCACATTGGTTGTCCCACATAACTTAACTCCTTTCTTTGTCAATTTGGTTATTGGTGCAGCTATCAGAGAGAAATCTTGTATGAACCGTCTATAATATCAGCTAATTCCATAAAGCTTCGTATCTCATGAACTTTTTTCGGTTGATCCCAATTAAACACCGCTTCAACTTTGGAAGAATTTACTGCAATTCCTTTGTTAGAAATTACATGTCCCAAAAACTTTACTTCAGTTAACCAAAATTCACATTTGGTAAATTTAGCAAACAATTGGTGTTCCCTCAAAGACTGCAAAATGATCTTCAAGTGTTCTTTATGTTCCTTCTTGGACTTAGAGTAGATGAGAATATCATCGATGAAAATGATCACAAATTGATCTAGATGAGATCAAAAAAATCTATTCATTAAGTCCATGAATGCTGCTAGGGCATTTGTTAATCCAAAAGGCATGACCAAAAATTCATAATGGCCATAACTAGTTCTGAAAGCTGTCTTTGGTACATCTTCCGCCTTCACTCGAAGTTGGTGATAGCCAGAGCGAAGATCAATCTTTAAGAAGAAACAAGCATCCCTTAATTGATCAAATAAATCATCAATTCTTGGTAAAGAGTACTTATTCTTCACAGTAACTTTATTGAGTTGTCGATAATCTATACACATACGAAGAGTTCCTTTTTTCTTCTTCACAAATAGATCTGGTGCACCCCATGATGATGTACTAGGACGAATGAATCATTTCTCTTGTAGCTCCTGTAGTTATACCTTAAGCTCTTTGAGTTCTGAAGGGGTCATACGGTATGGAGGAATAGAAATTGGTGTTGTGCTAAGATATACTTCAATGGCAAACTCCACTTCTCTTTCCGGTGGTAGTTCTAACAGTTCTTCTAGAAATATATCATTGAAGTCCTTCACTATAGCAATGAATTCCATTTGAAAGTTGTTTGTATCTCCATTGCAATACTTGTTATTAAATTCAAGTAACTGCATTCTCTTATATCCAAAATAAATTTGGGCTTAACTTTGTTTCCAATTCCATGGAAACTAAATGTTTCGCCATCAGGAATCTTAATAGTCACTCTTTTCTTACCGCAATCAATTATGGCATTGAAATGCGTAAGCCAATCCATCCCTAAGATGACATCATATTCCAGCATCTCTAATATGATAAGATCAAAGACAAGTCTATGGTTTAATATCTCTATGAAACAAGATTTACACAATGTATTAACTTCCACACTATTCCCATTAGAGATCCAATAACTAAAGGAGATGACATCGTTTCAGACTCCAAACCAAGAATGGATGTAAATGATGTGGAAATGAAAGATTGTGTAGCACGAGAGTCAAATAGTATACTAGCCCATGAGTTGTAAACTAAGAATATACCTTCCACCACGGCATGATCATTTTCGTCTGGTGCAGGGTCATTTCGGTCTATCACTTGTACAAAAGCATATACTTGGCCTTAAGCTAATTGCCCTGACTTTCTAGCTCATCCGAGTGCCCTTGGTCTAGTTTGTGCACGTTGTCTTATTGTACATTGTGGTGGTTGATTAACTCGACCTCTTGGCTGATTTTGTTGGGGCTGATAAGGAGGACGATACTGAGGCAGCGGAGCATTGAACTGTCGTTTCGAAGCATGATATTGTAATGGTGGTGCTCAAGGTGTTGGATATGGCTGCAGTTATGGACAATCCCTCTAATAATGTCCAGTTTGCTTATAATAATAACATTGTCGTGCATTCTGAGCCATCTTGTATGATCCTTGTGGTTGCTGATATATCTATGAGGACTGAATTTGGAACGCCTATTACTTTGTCCTCCACTAGAATTCCTCACCTCCCAAGCTCTCTTGCCTTCAGGAGCACTTTGTTCAGCTACAAGGGCTCTTTCAACAACATCAACATATTTAGTTAGCCTCAAAATAACCACATTTTCCTTGGTTGCTGGTTTCAGACCTTCCTCAAATCGTTGTACTTTCTTGCCCTCATTAGGAATCATCTCAAGTGCAAAACACATTAGCTCCTCAAACTTTGCTTGGTATTCGGCCACTGTCAAGTCTTGTTGAATAAGATTCATAAATTCTTTGCCCTTCATTGCCTTTATAGCACTAGGAAAATATTTCTCAAGAAATTTTTTCTCAAACTCAATCCAAGTAGTTATCTCATTGTCAGGCATAACCAAGACTGATTCCCACCAATGACATGCTTGTCCCTCCATGTAAGTACAAGCAATAATCACCCTTAGAAATTCTGGAACACATTGGTTATTCATTTTCCGCTTGATTTGGCGTAGCCATTCTTGGGCTGCCATAGGGTTCAATTCCCCTTTGAATACCGGTGGTCACGTCTTACGAAATTCTCCTTGAATCCTCTATCACTCGATTATCTTCAGTTTCATGATCAGGTCCATGATTATTCTGAGTAGTTTCCCTTTTAGCATTTGCCATTTCTTGAATAGCAAAAATGTTCCCAGCATTCCCATCAAAATCATTGTCATGTTGTTCATCTAATCCGGCCATCTTAACATAAGAAAATAAAAAAACCACATTAATATTTAGTAAAATAGTTTTTCTCATTTATTTCTGCACAACTGAACACAAAATTAAAATATATTTCCATCTATACATAACTAATAAAATGATAAAACCTTTGGATTCCCACCAGTAGCACACTCAATGGAAACCCAATACTTGGATACAATGTGTAATTAGTGTAATATAGGTAAATTCATTGCTCACGGTGCCAAAAGAAATTATCCATATGGATTCCGTGGTGTACACTAAAGCAATATCATGTACAAATAATAAGCTTTAGCCTAAACCGGACTAAAGCTTTCATGTAGTGTTTGTCATTCAATAGATAGTCTTGGAGTAAAATCTTAGATATTCCTAATAAAAATTGAAGCTCATAAATAGGCTTGACAAATGGGTTGTGTCTGTCGTGTTCGTATAGTTTTCATGTAATACCTGTTATCTTAACGGGTCGTGTCGTGTCACATCCGTTATCTTAACGGGTCCTGAACAGGTCAGGTCATTTTACCCAACCCGACCCGTTAAGAAAAAAATATATTTTTTCTTAAATTTGCACATACCACACATTGACACATAAATATTACTTCAAAACATTAAAACACATTTGTCGTTTAAGTACTACATCTACACTCGAAAATAAGAGCCTAATAACCAAACATGCATACACTACTAGTCTATTACAAAATATTAAATGTGCAAGGATAAGCAAAATGAAAGAGTTTTTGTTTTCAAGGTTGTGAAGCCTTTCTCAAAAGTTTAAACCTTGCCAATGGAACTCAAAACTTGCATATTATTCCTTTTACAAAATTCTCAATTTTCATCAATCATCATGACATAAGATTTAATGTTTTCAAGTATCCACACATTGCCACATAAATATTACTTCAAAACATTAAAACACATTTGTTGTTTAAGTACTACATCTACACTCGAAAATAAGAGCCTAATAACCAAACATGCATACACTACTAGTCTATTACAAAATATTAAATGTTCAAGGATAAGCAAAATGAAAGAGTTTTTGTTTTCAAAATCCTCAATTTTCATCAATCATAATGACATAAGATTTTGTGGTATCCACTAGTGTAAATATTTTAAATTGAAGATCGAGTTCATTTATTGTATTCATATAGGGTCAAGGAGTATAACTATAAAAAAATCATCAAAATCGGAGTTAAAATAACCGTTAAATCGTGATTTTTCATTAATAACCGTCCAAAAGTTTTGTCCCGTTACTTGATCTCTGAATATTTTGTTTTTTTTGCAATTTTTGGCATATGTTATCTCGTTTGACGGTTGGATCGTTGAAATTAGTTTCGTAGAATGCGTATCCCATCAAAACAATAGATTTACTAATATTTAAGAGTTTATTCATACTTTTATTAAGAATAATATAAGATTTTGTGATATCCACTAGTGTAAATATTTTAAATTGAAAATTGAGTTTATCATTGTATTCATATTGGGTCAAGGAGTGTAGTTGTAAAAAATCATCAAAATTGGAGTTAAAATAACTGTTAAATCGTGATTTTTCGTTGATAACCATTGAAAAGTTTTGTCTCATTACTTGATCTTTGAATGTTTGTTTTTTGCGATTTTTTGCTGATGCGATCTCGAAGCATATATAAACAAGTTTGACGGTTGGATCGTTGAAATTAGTTTTGTAGAATTTGTAATTTCGTATTCCATCAAGTTCAATGGTGTGTGTATATATATATATTAAGTAGATTTAAATTTATTTATTTTGTGCATATAACACTTAAGAAATTGAATGGTATGTATATTTAAGCCGATCCAATGGTCACCAATTTTTAATGTTTAATTTAATATATATATATATATATTAGTTTTTAGGGGTATAAAATTGTTAAATTAATAAATATATAGTATTTTTTTTAGGGTTATAAAATTATAAAATTAATATTTTGCTTATCGTGTATCGTATTACCCAAGTGTATACCCGAACCAACCCGTTATCTTAACAGGTGCTTATCGGATTACTCGATAACGATCCGATTCATTATCGTGTCGATCCAAACACCTGTTAATTTCGTATCGTGTCGTGTTAAGAATTGCCCGACCTACTTATAAACATCTTGCATGAGCAATGATCTACTAGGAAGGTCTTTGTACTTATTTAGAGCGTATGAGTATGGAAAATTATTTAGTACACAGTAGAAATTGTAATAATGAATGTAAAGATCTGTAACAAACTTAAAAAAAAAAAAAAAAATATATATATATATATATATATATATATATATAAAACAGAGATTGACTTTACTTATAGAATAAGCTGATATACGAGAGTCAAATCACAACAGCATTAAGCTTTAAAAGAAAAAGATTAGAACTAAGTTGAGATGATTAAACAAGAAATCATTTCTCCACTTTCTTTTTTTTAACAACTTGTAATATATATTACTTGAGTATCAGATTAAGATCTGTAATCCTAAAAGCAAATATAGCCAGGAACAATTCGAGAACTAAACTATACATGCTACAGTAAATTCCAATTGAAAACTCCTGTGAAGAAGATGAAAACTCCTGTAAAATTCTTGAACATAACTAACTTGTCCAATTATAGAATCGATGGTCATCTATCCATATAAGCAGAAAATTACATTCAGAAGGGAAAAATTGCCTATTTGATAATATAATGCAAGTGACTTGATGATTTTTTTTATGAACAACTCACATTCGACAATATTATTCCCAATCAACAACTCACATATCAAAGCCTACCAGATGTTTTTTTTTTTTGTTGAATTATTTGTGTTTTCCTATATAGCTAGGCAATTGATCAATCATAGACAAGCGTCTGCAAATTCTCATTGATGTCCATTTCATTGACTTTTTGTTGAGGTAAAGTACCATATTCATTCATAGATAATAGGAATACATACGTAAACATGAGAACAGGGTGCAATTACATGGGTCTTGATAAAAATTTTGCTAAGGATTTCAACCTAGACAAAGGAAAAAAGAGCGTTCCGCACTCAAATTAAATATAAATTATATCTTCAAAAAGAATGTCGCAAATTATATCAGGTGGTTCTTCAAACCATGTCCGTTCCGCAATCCGAGCCATGCTAATCGATGAGCCAACCTATTTGCCCCTCTCCGTGTATGCAAAATCTTCAAAATTGGGATTGATCGTAGATAATGATGCACCTCGTTAATTACCGTACCAAAGTGGGAGTTATCATCACAGTCCTGGTTTATGGCGGCAAGTACAATGGAAGAGTCCCTTTCAAATTCAATCGCCTCAACTCTGAGTTCATGGCCAATTTCGCCGCTGTACATGCAACAAGCACCTCTGCGAGCAGTGGCGAAGTCACACCCTCCACCTTCAGCAATAAATTCTCCCACATCAGTTCGAAAATCTACGTAGCTGAGAATTTTTTCCATTACACTACCAACTACATATTTGGTTTTAATTTTGAGGGTATTTAAGTCTATTTAAGTGGACTTTTTGTTAATTTTGAAAGATTTTATAAAAAAATGACATTTATGAATTTGAGTCATAAATTTTGGCTACTATTGATAAAGACTCCTGAAGATTTGATTGGCGATGATTCTGTTGACTCACATGTGGAGGTTCAGAAACCCTAAAAAGAATGTTGGGATAATGTCGTGATCGAAACTATTGGGATGAATAATTTTGGATATGTATGCAAACATATCGGCATCAAATAATTGATGATTAAAAATCCAATTATTCTTGATTTTCCCAAATCTCTCCATTCGTTTCACATAAATTTTTCCAACATTCTTCTTAACTAAATAGAAAAAGTAAAAGTTGGGACTCCTATGACCAAAAGGAAACAGTTTTAGAATTGGACTCAGCTTCCAAAATTCTTAAGAATTTAAAATATATAAATATCTGTGCGTGCTTTTGCATCTATTATTCACTAATGCTGCTAGCTTTCTTATTTTCCTTTTGATCGTCTGGTGACTTGCGATATGGAAGCCGTCCATCACGAGATGAGCCAGAATTTTTACTGTCACGTTGATCCACTTGACACACAAGTACTAGACCCCCTCGGCCATCACGAGCAATATTCTCCTTGGGTTCCACTTGAAATCTACTTCGAAGTCTCCAGAAACTACAGCTTCTTCGACCGCGATCTCTCACAAGACGGAACCCTAACCCTGGTCTGGTGCACCAATCTGAAGTGCAAGCCAGAAGTTACGAAGGCAAAAGAATTGATGCGTACTGGTTTGGAACCCGAAACGAATACGTCAGACCCTTTCTTTCTCAGGTGTTGTCCTTTCTTAAAATTCATGAGAACATGCACAGTGATATGGTGGAGACGATTATGGACAGGGGTATCCAAATCAGAAACTTCGATTCCAAGAAAGGTCCTAAAGTCCTGCGTATGAGGGTTGGTATAAAAAAATACCATGACTGGATTCGTTGTGAGTATTGTTCTAAAGAAAAACAACTCAAGAGGGATGCGCTGATGCTGATGATGATGATGTTAATGTGGTAGAGAGAGGCTGAGGAAGAAAAAGACGACGCGTAGTGCATGAAAGTGAGGTTTGCTCTATTTGTTTGGAAGAGTTTGTTGTGGGATTAGAGGATTTGAGGTCCATGCCTTGCACGCATGTGTTTCATGAAAACTGCATATGGAGATGGTTCGAACGGAGTCACCTTAATTGCCCTATCTGCCGCTTCGAGATTTTTATTGAACGTGGATCACAAGACGAAGGCGACATTAGGGTTTAAGCGATTCTAGTTAGCTGTTTTAATTGATACTTCGTTTTATTGTAATTTTGTACAAAATATATCATTGGTTGCATTCTTCTAAATATAAGGATGAATTTTCTGGACATGGTTAGTTATGTCAAAGTATTCATTCCATGTGTGTATAGAGGGTTCGTATTTAGGGACAAACATTTTGACAATTAATGTTTACACTCTTTGTGATCCATTGTATTACCTAACATCGTAAAGTCCTCGTTAAGAGTGGTGTACAAGTTTATTAATCACTAAATGGTATTAAGAAATTAAACTGAAATAAAGAAATTAGCAGAAAATAAAAGAAGAAAAGATGTTCTCGGGCTGTTGGAAGCAGGATGTGAGGCTTCCATAGATTAAATTAGCGGACCTTCACTCTTGAGAGTCTTCATAATTCTCATCCGAGGTTAAAAAAAAATCTTCCTCTTGGTTCAATTGCAAACCCGTACTGAGGTTTGACTGTACGGTACACTTAGCCATAGAGACACAACAGACAGTTATGATAGGAACAAAGCCATAGAGAAAAGACAAGAAGTAATTGTATATATATAATCCACTTTTGTTTAGGTTATTGTTTTCGAAAGAACAATAACTTAATTTTGTAAACCAAAACAAACTAAATTGCAGTTCTATGGCTTCAGAGACTCACATTGAGGTTATAAACTATTCTGTTTCCGGTGGCTATTCTCTTCTGTCAATCCAGTAGAGGGAATTCCACGTTCTTCTGCAATCTCTTGTAGGTGAGAGGTGTTACTTGAGTTCCACCCGCGAATGATTAACAGAAGATCTAGCTGTTCCTCAACGAGCTGGTACATTGCATCTCTTGTCGCTCCTGTAAAAGGAACACATAAAATCACCTTGTAAGTTTCTCTAAATTTTCAAAAAATGTACGCAAACTATAAACTAGCTTCACAAAGGGTATGCACGTTGCTGTTGCTGTGGGGTATTAGAATAATAAACACAATCTTACAAGAAGATAAAACGCAAAGCATGGATACAAATTGTTCCGTGGCACACCAACATAAAAATCTAAACCTAACCAGAAAAAACCATGACTAGAGAAAGAACTTACCTGAGTTGCATCAGATATTGTGTTCACTGCAGATGGACCATTCTCTTCGGTTTCCCCCTTAAGCGTTGTTGTCTGATTTGCAATCCCAACTTCTACCAGGTCTGCCTGGATCATGTAAGATATTTCTTAAATCATAAGAACAACAGCAAGACATTAGGATTATGGATTTAACAAATTAAATTGCAATAGATCAATTGTAGTTAACTTATCTATATAATACGGAAGACATAGCTGTTGTAGATGACAAAGGAGAGTCTTCAACTCTCAGCAAACGGTTGCAATAATAGGGTTGTGGAACATGTGTATTATGAAAGTAGGGACATCCTTAATATAGTGATTAGGGCTGCTCTATAACCGCCTATCATAGTTAATACTCCCACTAGTAAAGCATTAGTTGGGATATACAATTATAGAATTTGTGAGCTCAAAACACATTTAAAAATTTTCGGACCTCATCTTTATTCCAGATAACTATAGAGAAGTGGTTATTGTGACTAAAAACTGCACAAAAGAGTTTGTAAATTTTGCTCATCAGGCGTTTAACAGAAATAAAACTTTAACTAAACGTTTTCTGATCGCAACAATAACATATAATTCCACAATTATCTTTGGATAGAAACTAATTATATTAGGTTTGCATAGCCAAAACATGAAATATATGAGCAAACGTATATAGCTTCAACACTACTTTTGAGCAGATGAAGTATATACAATCTTGTCAATTTCATGCTTCACTATACATTGATTATAGTTGGACTGAATAAAAAAAAAACAACTTCAGCAGATTAATTATCCATCAATAAGATATAAACCATAAGCTCAATTTCTTGAACAACAATGATTATAGTTGGACTGAATAAAAAAAAAAAAAAACAACTTCAGCAGATTAATTATCCATCAATAAGATATAAACCATAAGCTCAATTTCTTGAACAACAACACAAGAATTAATAAGCAAAACACTTTTGAGCAAAATATGCTCATTAACCCTTAATGGATGTGAATATGGTGCTATTGTACTTACCAGTTCAATATTGATAAGTAGCAATAGTGATTCAAGGCAAAATGATCTCTAAGACTACGTGGTTGCAAATTTCCTGTAAAGTTAGTTCGCAAGTAACAAAATTGAAGATTGGTAACCTGATACAAATAAAACCAGATACAAAGAATCTTTTGCTCTATGAAGACCCACTTTCATAAGCTTTTTATGGTTTATTAAACTCTCATCTCTTTGTCTTTTTCGTCATTTGTCGACCAAATCACAGAACCCATCTGAAGAGTACCTAAATTGTTATTTGTCCTACTACAGACAAACCCTAATTTTTAATTTGTTCTATTGTTCTTACTATTTGTGTCTATATCACGAATGTTTTCTTAAATTCAAAGAATTGAATATAATCTTTGCTCAATCAAAGATCAATATTAGACGTGATCTGAGGTGGAAGGAAACAATAACTTAAACCTTGAGTCTTTCACTTGGTTTTGAGTTGGGTTGGGTTGTGAGAAGTGGTGCGGTGCCGGAGAGAGACAAAAATACTTTCTTTACATTTTACCTATGTCCTTTTATGTAATTTTACAATCATGTAAGCTTGTCATTATAACTTTTACAAAAAAAGTGGGTGCGATAATAAGATAATAAGGTGGACATAGTAACACTTTTTTTTTTTTAAGTAGTTTGAAAATCAACAGTTAAAACTTGCATATCTAATGAATTTTTACAACAATTAAATCTCTCATCAAAGATTCACCAATGGGACGCAGCTATGTATTGTAGCCCACTCTTAAATTTTTTATTTATTTTTTAATATTTAGGGCCAGCCGTATCTTAAAAGTAGATGTGAAAAAACTAAAATCAGCCCAAAATCGCAAAGCCCAACAGAATGCTTAAGATGTGTGGACCAGGGTTATTTATTATAAGTGGCCCAATCCGGAAAGGTGAAGAACCAAAAAAGTGAAAAAGAAAAGCTTGAGAAGAGGGGCATTCCGAGAATTGAACTCGGGACCTCTCGCACCCTAAGCGAGAATCATACCACTAGACCAAATGCCCTATTTAACGAAATGTTCTACTAAATTAAATTTTATACTTAGTGAATCATACCACGCATATTCTTGGCTCTCTATCCTGAAATGTGGAAATAATGCGTTATTGTTAAGCAGAAGAAACTCACTACGAGTTCACCAAAAAAAAATAAAAAATCACTACAAAAGCAACTATGCCTGATTTGAACCATATTATTAATAGTTCATTATGAGGCTGAACCCACCTGATCTCCCTTAGTGTATATAATGGGTTAATTATACTAACGTCTCTTTAGGTTTATCATGTTTTTATAAAATCCCCTCACGTTTGAAACATAACACTAGCCTCCTTTGAGGTTCTAATTTTCTTTCACATAATCCCTTTAGTGTTGACATCACCTTAAAATAGTTTCTGAAAGACAAATTTGTCCTTGTTTTTAATTACTTAAAAAAAAAAAAAAAAAAAAACCTTTTTAAAAAACAATACAGGGTTTAGGGTCTCTCCTCCACATTCACCACAACTTAATAGAAATTCTTAACATGTTTCACCTTCTCCCTAGCCATCCTCACAAGAAGCTACTCCTTCATCTCAGTTTTTCGATTAATCATCCTCTCACAAGCTTGGCTTCACCCTCCCCCATAAAAATAAAAATAAATAAAAAATTGAAAACGCCAAATTCCCAATAATCTTCCTCATGAAATGCAAGTTGTCATTGGAAACCTTGAACCTTTTTTGTCGAATTCCAGGGAAGATCCGGGTTCATAGTAGAGGAAGAAAGATAATGACATTTATTTAATTTTCTTTTTATTTTTTTAATTATAATGAGAGAAAATTTGTCCTAAAAGGGTGTGAAAGTGAACTAAAACCTCAAGTGATGTTAGTGTTATGTTTCAAACGTAAGGAGTTTTGTGAAAACATAATAAACCTAAGGGAGTGATGGTGTAATTAATCTTGTAAATAATATCGTTTGTTCAAATTTTTTTTTCTTACTCTTGAAATTCTCTGTTTCATTTTTTTTTTCTTTTTGCACATTCATCATGTATGTTAATGAAAGGAATTATCAGAATACATAGACGGCCTATTTGAATTTTTCAACGAATTTTTAAAACTGAAAACGTTTCAAAACCGACTTTAAAATAATAATAATAATAATGTTGCTCAATAGCTTATATATTAGTCCAAGATACTGCAATTTTGAAGGTGAGATGTCGAGATCCTAATAAACTCTAAGACCAATAGTTCTAGATGTGTTTGTGATCACATAACGGTCTTGGGTCTTCCTTTGGAGAATAAACGAATTCTTCCAACCCTAGCTTATCTGTCATTACTTCTTTAATTGTAAGGAAAAAAAATAAAAAATAAAAACGAATGCAAAACAGGAATCTTGTCCAAGTACCCCCATGTGTATATTTTTCTTTTTACTTTAATTTTTTTTTTTTGTCGAAATGAAGATAATATTAAATATGAATCGAAATGTTTACATCAGTAGCTAAAGTTTAATTTTTTTTTTTCTGTCGAAATAAAGATAATATTAAATACGAATCGAAATGTTTACATCAGTAGCCAAAGTGTTAAACAACCACTATGGTTCTAACCCATCCCATAAATGACTTACGCCGCTCCTCCCCTCCCCCCCCCTCCCACCAAAAATACACGTTACATAAGAAGCCTTATTACAGGCCCGAGGAGCATACTGAAATTGAACAGAATAAAATTGTTACTTAATGTGATTAATGTCCCATAAAATACCCTCCATGACAGCCTTCGGTTGCAAGACCCCATTGATCATATCAACTAGGACCTTAGAATTAGTTTCAACCTAAACCACCCCAAATCCTCTTTCCACACAAGCCACCAACGCCACTCTTAGTGCCTCAGTTTCCGCCATGACACTGGATACACATCAAACATTCCTCACACCTCCATCATCTTGAAGGATCCTCGCAAAATCCCTCACAACCCATCCAAACCCACCCACCCCCGTACTGCTACACCAAGCACCATCACAGTTCACTTTGAAGGTACCGAATGGGGGTTTCATCCAGCCTACATGACACATCCTACTCATAGTATTCCCCCAAGTTAGCTGCTGCCCCAATTCCCCATCACTCCCCTACTCTCTCACTCCAATGCTGTCATAGTAGCTGCACGGCAACACTAGGATCAACCTCGGCTTTGTCAAACACCACGGTATTTCGACACTTCCATATCCTCCACAAACCATAAACCACCGAGTGCATTAAATCCGTAGCCTCCTTCTCCTCACCATATTTCTTACTTAGCCACTTCCAACACTCCATAAAATCTTCACCCTTTCATATCCTCCGCAAACCACAAACCACCGAGTGCATTAAATCTGTAGCCTCCTTCTCCTCACCATATTTCTTACTTGGCCACTTCCAACACTCCATAAAATCTTCACCCACCACTATGGTCACATCCAATTGAGGCAGGTGTTTTTAATTTAATTCTTGATCATGTCAAACTATTACGTATGGAGCTTAAGCCCACGAGAGGCAGTTGCCCCCCACCCACACACACACACACACACACACACAGCCACAGTTGTTTTTGGTGCAACAAAAAGAAAACAGCTATGTCTTGTATGTTAATACGTGCCAACGAAGTTATTTATGTACATATTTCTACTTATCAAACATAAATAAAATGTTTTTCTAGGTTATGGTTTTCAATGTATGTACATATTACTCAAAATAACGACACTGGAATGATAATATTTTTGTTACCACATTATACATGATGCATCTTTCAACTGAACAAACAAATGTACAAATTGTGACTACATTGTTCCTACAAATAATCAAGGTATTTCTTGTAGTGATGTGTCTTAACAAGCTATATTAGAATTATAAGATTTGTGGACTACACGAAAAAGGTGGTTCTAGCTTCTACTTGATGTGATCGTTAATAGAAAAATGTGGTCATTGTAATATAAAGTTGCCATCACAAAGAAATTTTTGGCCCATAGAGATTCAAAATCTTTGTCAGCACTAACGTGGGAACTTTTTTAACATCCTCTAGCATGTGCTCTTGTCAAACATAAGACAATTCCAGGTAATTGTTTTAAGAAGAATGATGTTTCATTCATTAACGAAAGGGTATTGCAAATTTATACTAACCAAGAATTTAGCCCTAAAAAGATCCTTGCAAACTAAATCTAAAGAATTACAATAAATCATGGCCAATCA